GTGAGCTTCAACATCATGAGACGGAGATAACGAGCAATATGTGACATCCACCAGGAGAAGGAGACACAGCTAGGTTTGCTATTTATATTTTAAAATGAAGCTTAAACACAATTAGGTTTTGATGTATGATATAACACCGTTGTTTAACAAATCTATTTCTCAATGGCGGATTTAACATCACTGTTTAACAAGTTTAAACGCAACTAAGTTTTAATACCTTTATTTCATAGTTGTTCATGTCGTCTACTATCATTGGTTAACAAATTATATTGAATTCATCGCTATTTAACAAATCTTAAGATTTAATTGTCTAGATTTGTTTCTAAAGTGTAAATTAAATTGGATTATACAAATCTGATACAAAATAGTATTTAGATGTATTAGACTTATTTTATTATTGAGAAATGATGTTTACGAGGCATGATAATGAGCCAAGCTGGTTGCCTAATTATGTACTATAATTTATTAAATGAAAACATAGAGCAATATAAGCAATGTAATATCACATTAACTTATAATATCTAAAATCATTCATATTTAACTTTGGAGATAACTTTAACTCTTATTTTAGGCCCTAGGATTAAATTGACTCAATTTTTAGTAGTTGAAGGACTAAATTAGGGAAATGCAAAACTCTGAGGCTAAATTGGACATTTATCAATAATTAGTGGACTATTTTGAGTTTTTGCTCATTCCATAATATTCAACATTATTTTCAGACTTGAGGATTTTCATCTTTTTGCCTAGTTGCTTTTAACCTCGTTAATAAATTTTTTTGAGATATCTACTAATTAAGACTTCAAGTAGACATAGCCATAATGTGAAAAATCATCAATAAAATGAGGAAATACTTTTTCTCCATCAAATAATAGAATATAAAAAATTCCACATATGTTAGTGTGTATAATTTCTAGAAACTATGTGCTTCTTATGGTTGCTTTATTAATTGTGTGTTCTGTGTGTTTTCCCTTAATACAATCCACACAAATATCAAATTAGTAAAATCCCAACCAAGAAAGATTTCATTCTTTACTAATCCTTATATTCATTCTTTAAATACATGACTCAAATATTTATTTCACAAGTAAGGTGAACTTTCATCTATTAAATTATGTTTTGTTCCAACATCATAATGCATGGTCAATAGTCTCAACAAATAAATGATCAAATTTTAACTTATATGAACCATTATGACACCATAATCAACAATTGGATTATGCTTAAGCATATTGAGACGTCCATTTCTAAATTTAAAATAATATCCAACTGTATCAAGTTTAGATATAAAAAAAAATAAAAAAATTAAACACAAACGGAACATAAACAGTTTGAAAAAGATCTAAATGTTATCCTACGTCTAAAATCAAAGAGTACGGTCTGATGGCAATTGGAGTTTTGACTTGATTTTTTATGGAAATAAAGTTTTCAATTGGCTTTGTAGTTAGACTAGTAAGTAATCTTTACATTACATTTGAAATCAATCCACCAAATATTATAACTGGCTTTTGTCAAATTTGATTAGAAACATACAAAAACACTAAGCTTACCTCTCTTTTCGAACCAAACTTTATGCTTATGACAATCTTTTTGATAGTGTCCATGTTTGCAATAGGAATAACATCTATCATCCTTCTATTTCTTTTGGATTTGGATGGATGCCAAATCGGATTTAGGTGTCTTTTATTACTCTTTCCATTTTTATTTTGTAGTTTCATTTTAGTTTTAGGCTTACCCATGAGACTAATTGAGTGAATTCCTTATTTCTTAATTTTTATTTCTACTTGAATAAACATACTTGCCATGCTATCACATTCCATTTATCCTTTATTGTGTTTTATTTTATTTGGAATGGTACTCAAGATGTAAGGAGTTCACCATAAGTTGCATGAGAAAATTTCTTTCACTTTCATTTATATGAAATTTAATCTTGATGCAATATTTGTCATCTCAATGATGTGCTTATGGATGGTACGAGAACCATCAAACTTAATGATGGTTAATATGCCCATTAGTGTCCCAGCAAGGACTTATGAGCAGACTTACATTGAGACAAATCTTTCACAAAATTTATAAATTCCTTAGCATTATTAAATTTATAAATTCCTTAACATTATTAGTTTTTAGAATTGTTCTATTAATAGTATCTACTATAGTCATCTGCATAAACGTTATGCTAAGTCTTTCTGACCTTACCCATGCATCATAGAAAGGTTTTTGTTCAGTGCTGCTAGTAATAGTATGGGCAGCGAGTATCAGTAAGAAGTGCCAAATTAAGACTTAGAAAACCTAAATGAAATTGAATTTATTTACTTCATTAAAAAAAAAGTTCATGGAAATTCGTAATAGATGAAGTTTGTGAATGAAGAGCAACAATAGTACTGCTACAAAATATATAAAACACATACATTAATGGTTTGAATTATAAATTTTAAACATATAATATTGATTTAGATAGCATTCTGTTGACATCTATGTAATAGCCAAAAGAATAAAAATCTGCATACCTCGTTCGATCGAAGAGATCCCGAAATCCAGCAAGAAATCCCGTTGCTACAGTCCTATCTCTGCTAGCGGCGCCGAATCCATCGCTTCTCCGTAATTTCTGCTCAAATCCCGCAAAAACTAGCCTCGATCGTCGCTCTTCGACGCCTTTAAAAGCCGAACGAATGAAGCCTTCAGGAAACGATCGCTCTTCCCTCGTCACTTCTTCCATTCGCTCTCCCGCTCACTCCTTCCACGAAGCTCCAGCGATTAAGACCCGAACTCCTCCAATCTTTCTCCGATCAAATCTGCGAGCCTCTGTTCAAGCCGAACTTATCCCGTCAAGCCCCTGCCCGTGCCGACCTCTCTCCGCCGCTAGCCTCCTGGTTCTGCCGACCCGAGAGAGAGAGAGAGAGAGAGAGAGAGAGAGAGATATTCAATCATTTAAATATATATTGAAGTTCTCCTTTATGTGATACTACAATAAACAATATTAAATTATAATTGATGCTCAATTTAATTTGCTCATATTTATAAATTATATATATACTCCAATCAGACGTGCATGCTATCTTTTAATAAAGTAAACATATCTAACCAAGCCTATTAATTAATGACAATCATGCTCATGACTATAAAATTAACTAATCAACCTTTATGTGATCCTTCAATATTATGCAATCATTAAACTTCAAATTACCCATGATTAAAGTTATATAATGTCATTTTTTCATCTCTTAGTAGCATCACATGCTCATGAGTACAACAACAACAACATCAAGCATTTATCCCACTATATGGGGTTGGCTATATGAATCATTTTTCTCCATTGTGTCATGTTAAGAGTCAAATTCTCATTTAAATCTAATAAAGAAATGTCATTTCTAACTCTTTCTAACCAAGTCTTTTTAGATCTACCTCTACCTTTCTTAACATAAGTCAAAATCTAATACATCTACTTTCCTAACCGGGTCATCGGAAGGCCGCCGTTTTATGTGACCAAATCATCTAAGTCGACTCTTTCTAATCTTATCTTCCACTAGAGCTACTCCAACCTTTTCATGTATGTGCTCATTTTGTATCCTGACTCTAAGAGTAAAGCCACTCATCCACTTGAGCATCATCATCTCTACAACACTTAACTTAATATTATGCTTCTTATTTAATGGCCAAGATTCTACACCATAAAATATTGCATGTCTCACCACCATCTTATAAAATTTTTTCTTAAGTTTGAGAGGGACTTTTCTATCATACAGCAAGCCCGATGCATTCCTCTACTTCAGCCATCCAACTTGAATTCTACTTTTAATATCCCCATTTATTTCACCATCACTCTGAACAATAGGCCCAAGATATCTAAAACATGTACTCTTATTAATGTCATGATCACCCAAAGTCACAATCCCTCACTAGATCTATTATTACTAAAATTATGCTCCATATATTCAGTTTTTGAGCTACTCAAACAAAAGCCTTTAACTCTAAGGTTGGCCTCCATAATTCAAGTTTAACTTCAACTCCCTCTCTAGTCTTATCAACAAGAGAAATATCATCAGCAACCTCTTTCAAATGCCTAGAGAGAACATCCATGACTAAAGCAAAAATATATGGGCTTAAGGTTGATCCTTGATGTAATCCAACTAAAATAGGAAAATACTTGGAAAACCACCTTATGTTTGAACACAAGTAACAACTCCTGCATATACATCCTTAATTACTTGAATATAAGTATTATTAACCCCTTTCGTTTCTAGAACTCTCCATAGCACTTCTCTTTGAACTTTATCATATGCTTTCTCTAAATCAATAAATATCATGTGTAGATCCTCTTTATTCTCTCTATACTTCTCCATTAAACCTCTCAATGAATGTATAGCTTCCATAGTTGACCTATCCGGCATGAATCCAAAATGATTTTGAGAAATATTAGTATCACGCCGCAACCTATGCTTATTAAATCTGATATTTATGAAAACTTTCTAATTCTACCACTTGTTGATTAATGAATTATGCTTAAAAATAAACATCAAATTAAATAGCAGCAATAATAATTATTTCAATTAAATGAAATACATAAAAGAAAATTACTATAATGTATAAAAAATGTTATACAATGGTAGAATGAAATTTAATTATCCTTTTTATAAATATATATGCATAAAACACTAATTATAGAAAATAATCTCTGTAATACACATCAACTTTAATGGTGCTTGTTTTGTTTAAAAAGTGGTGCTGATTGAAAAGTTTTAACATGATTCATTGTGATCTCTTCTGGAATTTGATCAAAGAATTTGAGAAACTAGGTTTCTCTCCATTTCCCCCTCAATTCTCTTCTTGCTTTAGTTCATAAAAGTTTTAATGAATTATTACTTTTTTTATCAATAGGATTTTAACACGTATTTAATTAAATAATTTATCAGTGCGGACCACTTTATAAAACTATTTCTAACATTCTTGTCCTCTCACTTGATTCAAACTACTTTAAGATGCTTTCTTTTCTGTGGGATGAACAGATTGGGAGGCAATTGTGGATCGTGAGGTGTCCTCGGTAGATGTTTTGTTTTCTGCACAGGATGGCGAAGGAGCAGCATCAGACCTCTTAAGGGTAGATGAGCCTTGCACGTCTAGGCGACGAAGAGGGAGAGGATCCTTCTTGTACAGGAAGAATGAACTATACTGTGACCAGGTGGATGATGGGGCTGTGGCTGACTACAATTGTTCTTCTGAAGATGAAGATGCCAGGTTTGACTCTCTGGAAGACAAATATGGAACTATAAGGAATAGTGAGTATCTTAAGTTCTCTATTTTTTTCCCCTCCTCTTTCTTTTTGGTTAAGATTTTACTTATTGGTTGGATAAGACTGGAGTTTAATTGAGATTGATTAAATTGTTTTCAGCAAAATATGGTACCGGCCATGTTATTGTCTTATATGATTTCCCACCCACTACTCGAACAACACAATTGGAGATCCTATTTGACAAGTTCAGAGAGCGTGGTTTTGCTATTAGATGGGTTAATGATACTGTTGCACTTGCGGTGTTTCGAACACCATCTACTGGTAAGTTGTCTTATACATATGTGAAGAGTTTACGGGCTGCATCCATGACCTTATGAGATGCACACATTCTTGATAACGTGATATTCTGCTTTTTCCACATTTATCATGAAAGTAGAACACTTCTACTTTCTATATTCAAGGATATACAGGCTTTCAGATGTTCATCAATTTCGGATGTGAACAATATCTGAATGTGATATGTGCTTTTATATATATATATATATTCGTTTGACTGTTTATGCATGGATCTTTTTTATGGCGAATAAGGTGCATAAGAATTAAATCTCATGGTGATTTCCTGTTTTCTTTATGTGATTATGAAACGCACATATTTATGGAAATAGCAACTCTTTTTTTATCCCGTAACTTAGGGACTTGTAGTTTCTTGGAGCAGTATGCCATATTTTGCGGTTTGGACCAAGAATTTGTGGTACATGAAGTGGATAAACTAATTGTGGATTTTGTCATTAGTAGAATATTATTGGCATTAGATTGTCAGCATGTTTAATTGACTACTTGTCAAGATACTTAGAAAGAAAACATTGTTATTCCATCGTATGATTAACACCAAAAGCTTAAAAACATTAAGATAAGCAAAATGATAGATTAAAATAAGAAATATATTAAGATCCGGCCCATTTTAGCAGCATTATTAAATGATGTCCTCTATTTAAAAGTTTCGCTTGTCATGATTTTATGGTATGTGCCCTCAATGTCGCTAAAGGCCGGTTGGCCATTGGGCAAGGTAAGGCTAGCTTATAGTGCCTCATACCTTTAAGGTGGAAAGCCTTAGGAAGATTTGTGAGTGTTTAGGTGAATGCCTTGTCTAATGACATTAGATAGTGATGTGGGAGTCTTGTCTTGATGTGTAATACTATTTTTAATGTAGATGATGGACTGGCCGATTTGATTGAGAAGGAATTAGAAAGTTTCAAATCAAGAGGAGTTGTTTAGGAAGGTTCTTAATTAAAGGAGAATTGTTTTGTAATGTTTTAATTATAATTAGGAGGGAATTATTTAGGTTAAGCAATATAATTTGAATTCAAAATATAAGAGGGAATTATTTAGGAAAAGAGAGAGTGAATGAAGAGGAATTGTTTAGAAATTTTTCAGTTCAATGTTATTAGTCTTGTACTTTAGTTGAATTTTCTTTCGTTCCATCTTAAGGACAAGGTGGCACTTTGGGAGGAGAGTATTGATGGACTAACCAATTTGATTGGAAAGGAATTAGAAAGTTTCCTAATCAAGAGGGAGCCATTAAGAAAGGTTTTTAATCAAAGGAGAATTGTTTAGGAAAATTTTATTACAATTTGGAGGGAATTATTTATCGCAATATATCTAATTTGAATTCAAAATCTAAGGGGGAATTATTTAGGGAAATGGGGGAGGAATTAAGGGGTAATTGTTTAGGAAAGTTTTAATTATAATTGGGAGGAAATTATTTAGGGTAAAAGATCTAATTTGAATTCAAATACGAGAGAAAATTTTTTAGGGAAAGGGGGTTGATTTGGGAGGGAATTAGGGGAGTCTATTTAAGGCTAATAATAGGATGATTTTGGGATTCTGATGTTATTTACTGAATTTAGATTGTTCTTAGGGAGTTTTGGGCTCTAGCTGGCGGCTAGGGATTTGGGAGAGCCGGATCTTTCTCTCAAATAGAAGATCCATTGTATCATGTTGTTTTCTTCCATATATCATCAATTAACAAGAGTTTTCTCTTATTATTGTTCTTAATTCCTCTTGGAGATTGGGTTTGGGATTGCTATAATTTAATTTCAGCCAATTGAGATATATGATTTTATAAGCACTTCCTATCAGTAGACAATCGACTCATTTTTCATGATGATAGTTTGACAAGAGATGATAACAAAAGAATCTTAAAGACTTAGAAAAAAACAAAGATGTAAATTAGAAGTAAAGAAAAATATATGTACTAATGCTTCAAAATCTAGTGTAGTAAATTTGAGGATGGAGAAGATTACTGTAAGGAGATGGAGGAATAGGTGGAGAGCTAATCACTGATGTAAAGGGGTTATGAATTGTGATAAGGATGGAATAGATATTGAAGAAGATTGGATTATTCATATGCTTTACATTCTACCAACTTTAGTGCTTTACTATACTCATTTAAGTTTATCTAGCTACCATGAAATTTGAACTAGAATACAATGGAACTTGAAAATTCATAAATTTTCTCCACTTGATTTTGTGTGATTATTATCACATTGTACTATTTAAAAATACTCATAAACATAAGTTTAGTTTATAAGTGATACAACAATTTCATTTTTTAACATCTTACTTTGCTTAAGCACACGTCTTGGTTGGCTCCAAGTGTTCTGGGCCTTGGGCAACTATTTCACTTTGAGGGTGTGATGCAAATCGAAATTCTAAGTTTTGGATTCACATTTACTTTAGTTTACTTTGATTTTTCATCTTTCAGAAAAGTTCATTTATAATTGTTTAGGATTTTTTTTAATAAACATGCTTTTGATGATCCTTAATGAGAATGTGATGCATTCTCTAATGTTAAGACCTTTCTCCCATATAATTTGATTTGTTTTTATTTTCTAGTTGATTGGGATTTGATCCTCTATGAGTGTATGATTAGGGCTACAAGCGAACCAAGCGTTCGACGAGCTACTTGTTGTTCGGTTGGATTAAAGCTCGTTTGTGATCGTTTAATTAACTAAACAAACAAACTTGAACAATATTTTAAATACTCGATTCTTAAATAAACAAACTTGAACACTAATGCTTTCGTCTCATTTATGTTCGTGAACAACATTGTTTAAAGCTTGTGAACAAGCTCGACATTAAGCTTGATAAAAGCCCGATTCGTGTTCGATTTTGAACTCATAAATAAGCTCGATAAAAGTAATTAATATTTGAATATAGAATATGCAACAGGTAAGCTTCATTTAAAAATATATTCATATTGATTAATGTTATTTTCATTTTACATAGACAATTGCTTTTATTATAAATGTGTTTGTTCATAGATATATTCATGAACATGTTTGTTCATAGATATATTCATGAACATGTTTGTTCATAGATATATTCATGAACATGTTTGTTCATAGATATATTCATGAACATGTTTGTTCATAGATATATTCATGAACATGTTTGTTCATAGATATATTCATGAACATGTTTGTTCATAGATATATTCATGAACATGTTTGTTCATAGATATATTCATGAACATGTTTGTTTGATAGTTTAAAAAAATTTGTTAAATATGTTCTCGAACATATTTGATGTAATCTTTTATTAGGAAGCTCAATAAAGCTCGTTTGTTAAGTTAATGACATATAAAAGTAGAGCTCGTTTATTGCTCGTTCATGCTTGTTTGTTTAAAGCTCGATAAGCACTAAACGAACCGAACATGAACTGAACATGAACCGAACATGAACACTCATTAATTTAAATGAACCAAACATGAACACAAATAATAAAGCTCGAACAAATATGGACCAAACTTGAACAAGCTGATATTAAATGAACACAAACATGAACACTCACATACTTGGCTCGGCTCGGTTCATTTGCAGCCCTATGTATGATGTCTTTAATTGTTTTTGCCTTCGGTTGTTTTTAATTTGCTATTATATTTTAATAATTTGCATCTTGATTTATAAGTCAAGATGGTGCTGAAGTACCATTACGTGTTGATGTGGGACCTTGCTGAGATGAATTGTTGCAATGGGTACTATAGGCGCAAATTGTGGCTCCTACCCAATGTTGTGGTTGCTTTTGCTTTGATGTGGCTTTTGCTCCCTAGTTGTTCTCTTGGATACTTTTATTTGCTATTTTCATGTGATCTTTACTCGATTTCATCTTGTGATGCGCATTATGGTATCTACATTAGACTCAAATAGCTGTTGGTTTGAGTTATCTGTGATTATGAATATGGGTTTCTAAGCATATAAAAAAGAGAGGTTTCAATAATGATCACTCTTTAAGTTATTTTGTTTTTTTTTTTCTTATGAGTGTTTGTTGAATGCAATTCTTTCTTTTGTTTAGTGTAATTCGAGATTTCAAATTTCTAAGGGAAGCTCTCTTGTCATGCCAAGGTGAAATCTAGATTGTTATTTTTGATTTTTTTTTTAATTTTCTTTTGTTGTGCGGAATTGTTACCGACTGCTTTGCCACAAGCTCTCGATTGCTTGTTTGGCTGGAGGTCTCCTTGCATGATGATAGTAAGGCTTCAATTTCTGCACAAATCTTTCACAAATTTAATCAATGGAATAATAACCTTTTAGCATAAATGTTGCTTGGGTTTAAACAAGAGAGGTGTGTTAAAGATCAAGGGTCAATCAGTCGTCCACTTGGCACTCATATTGTGTACTTGAATGCGGTGATAATCCTCTAACAATTTGGACAAATGTCATAACCTTAGGAGTTATCTTTCAATTAAAATATTTAGCTCAAGTGGCTAGTAAGATGGGATTATTAAAGATTCTCCTACTACTATCGAAATAACCTATTAAAAAAAAATTATTATAGACTTGGTCGACATGTCCAAGCTTGGCTGGCATCACACTAAATTTGGTGAGATTTACCCCGCTATTATCTTATTACGCCAATAATATCCCATTGACTCAACTGCTTGATTGGCCACCTTGACCTAGTCACCCTCCGAACGAATTCCTTGCATTTAGCTAGTAATCCACCCAACTACACTACTAGGTTGATCAACACGCGAGGCTAGTCAGTCAATACTTCCATTAGGTTAACCTTAGTTCATGTTGTCTAACACCTATAGCACCGAACAACATCAAAATAAGTTGGTCAACACCAAAACCGACCAATTGACACCAAGTGAGTTGGCAATGGATTTAGCTAGTTGGTCTTCTCAATCCCAGCTTATTGTTCAAAATCTAGCTTGGCCAAAAATATTTTGGGCCAACTTATTCAACCGAGTTAGTTACAAGAAATTTGGGTCATTACACATCAATACCAAAATCATCAATTGATAAAAACGGGAAACTAAGCAATAATTAGTTAATTACTACGACATTTTAAATTACCCCATCTTTCGCAAACATCAACTTTGAATTTAAGCTGTCCATAGTACAATGTTTTACGTGGAAAATTAAATTAGAACTAAGACCAAATGCAAATTGTCATGTGAAAAATGTTAACAAGAATTCATAAAGTTGGCCTTCAAAAAGTAAGGTAAAAGGTTACAAAAATACCAAGCATATACTGCAACGAAAATGTGGCAGTCAAAACAAGTTAAGTATCTCTTAGGTCCTTGAATTTATCTTGGTTCATGTAGGTTCACAATTTTTAAAAATCATCCACTTCAATATCTTACATTCAAAATTCTTTTATGACGTTCTTTCATTAACTAAACTATTTATTGAGAGAATATTATTCACAAGTTCCTTTAATAGTGATAATGGTGTTTGGCACAAGTTTATCATAGATTTAATTAATTTGCATGTTTAGCGAGGTCATTGAACTAGCAGAAGGCTGCCCACATATCCAAACCATTGAAGACATCTGAATACCTTCATTTTCCTTCCAATGGGGGCCGGTTAGGATGGAAAAGGAAGGGGAAGGCTTTTTCGGGCATTAACTAGGTTTTGTATGCTTTAAGTAGGTTTTTTTTTTCCAAGGTGAGGGTGAGCCAAATTTAGGGTTTCTTAGGTAGTGAGGGCTCTGGCTAGAGATTTGAGAGAGCCGGATCTTCCTTTTCAATTGAAGATCCAATTGTATTTTGTTATTTTCTTACAGATTTCTTGCAATAAAAAGTTTTGTGGTGTTTCTTTTTCCCAAATTTCTATTGTTGTTCACTGATTTGGTTGAAAGCGCACATACTTCCTATCAAATTGGTATCAAAGCGGTGTCCTGGGCTGAATTATAAGTATTCCTCGCTGATTTTTGCTGCGTTTTTCTCTCCAATCTTGTTGATTTTTGTTGTTTGAAGGCCATATTTGCTTTTTTTTTGGTTGTTTTTGTCGTTTGGAGCCTAGATTCGGGTACCCATGGAAGGAAGAAAGGTATAAGTGTTGGAGGGGGAGATCGAACAATTGAAATCTAAAATTTTGATTCTCCATACTCAAATTTCATATTTCAAAAGTCAAATTTCAGCCGTCAATGAGAAGATCGATGGAAAATTTTCTATCATGGAGGAGATGTTGAAGAAGTTGTTCGAGTGCCAACTCAAAACGGCATCATCGGAGGCGAGGGAAACCGCCGACAACCAAGGAAGTAGGGAAAACCCTAATCCAATAAAGCGAAGGCAAGATCAGGAGGTGAAGATTTTGGAGGGAGAAGAGAGAAGGCCTCCCCTAGAGTCTATTCCTAGGGAAGAGTAAGGTAGAGGGTATGAGAAGAGGCGTGAGGGGGTCGGGCATGACACAATTTGGCTGAATTTGAAAGGAGAATGACTGATTATGATCCAAGGGGTGCTGAATTTGAAAGGAGAATTGAGATTATGATGAAAGGTTTGGGTATGAGCGTAGAATAGATGATTGAGACACTTGGGGGGAACCACCCCCTTGGGGAATGAGAAATTATGGAGGAAACAGGAGGAACGGCGGAGATCTGAGGGTGAAGAAGCTAAAGATGCCTATTTTTTAGGGAGAGGATGCACATGAGTGGATCTACAGGGTGGAAAGGTACTTTACCATCAATAGATTGACAAAGGAGAAGAGATTTATGGTGACCGGGATGTGCTTGGATGGGAAAGCATTGGCATGGTATTAGTGGAGAGATATGAGGCGTCCCATATAGACCTGGAGGGAGTTTAATGATTGCTTGTTGGAATGTTTTCGAACCAACAGGGGAGGAGACTTCTATAAGCAGTTATTTACTGTGATGCATGAGAGGACAATGGTGGAATACAGTGAGCAATTTTAGCACTTAGTTAGCCGACTAGATCGGCATTTAGAGATTGTGGAGGGATATGAGGTGACCCATATGGATCTGGAGGGAGTTTAATGATTTCTTGTTGGAATGTTTTCGAACCAATAGGGGAGGGGACTTCTATGAGTAGTTATTCATCGTGACGCAGGAGGGGACAATGGTGGAATACCGTGAGCAATATGAGCACCTTAGTTAGCCGGCTGGATCGACTTTTAGAAATTGTGTTAGAGGGGAACTTTATTAAAGGGATCAAACCAAAGATTTAGATGACAGTTATAGTGATGAGGCCTCGTGATTTGAGAGAGGCTATGGAGTTAACCCAGTTAGTGGAGGGGACCAGAGGCACCTGGAGAGAGGGATTGGAGGCAGCAACTCAGGAGATTCGTATAGGATGACCACCACCGTTTTGGTATCCATGGAATCCGGCAGGACCGGCACCGGGCACTCTTAGGGGACCTTGAAGGAGAAAATTGTGGGAGAGAGACATGAGGAAAACTTCAAGAAGCTTACAGAAATAGAGTTACTAGAGAAAAAGGAGAAGGGAGTTTTTGTCAAATATGAGGAGAGATATACACCAAGGCATATGTGCAAGAGCCAAACTCTTCAGATTCTCAGTGTTTGTGATGATGAGGAAATTGAGGGAGCCATCTTTCCTCCTTGCTGACAATATTGCGTCTTTGGGAGGGGGGGTATTGTTAGACCGGCCCTCCTAGATTGGTCACAGTTGCGTCGGTCCCTCCTGGACCGACCAATTATCGAGTGGAGCGGAACATGGAGGGTGGAACTCATCTACCTGCTGGAGGAAATCTCGTCCCTTAGGGTGGGGCCCGTGGGGATTTTCAAACAGGAGGGGCCCACAGTTAGGATGGAAAAGGAAGGGGGAGGGCTTTTTTGGGTTTTGTACGCTTTAAGTGGTTTTTTTTTTTCAAGGTGAGGGTTATGTTGTATTTGGGCCGAATTTAGGGTTTCTTAGGTACCCGTAAGGGCTCTAGCCGCCGGCTAGAGATTTTGGAGAACCGTATCTTCCTCTCCAATTGAAGATCAAATTGTATATTGTTATTTTCTTTCAGTCTTGCAATAAAAAGTTTCGTGGTGTTTCTTCTTCCCGATTTTTCATTGCGGTTTGCTGATTTGGTTGAAAGTGCTCGTACTTCCTATCAAAATTATAATTCTATGCAGGTGTTAAAATAATCAATGCACATGAATATGGCTAGAACTAGTGGAAATGACCCGAAAATTTTAATTTCAAATTAAGTCTTCAATCATAAATTTTGCATTAAACGGAGCAATTAGATCACAGTTCAATGTTTTTTTCTTACTTGAAAAACTTGCTTTTGAGCTACTCTTACCATTTAAATGTATCGGGTATTTCATTCTGTTTGTCTGGCAGCCTAAGGCCAAACTCATTCCATCGCTTGCCAAATCATGCATTATGTTTCCTTTTGCTCTGAAGGCATGTGCATGCCCATTATTAAACATTCCTCTGGCTTATCTGAGGTGAAAAGCGCTAGTTATGATACGCCCGTTGTTACCAAGATTGTGAATACAGACTTGCACACTCATTGGTCTGTGCTTGTAAGACTTACACTTGTCATTGAATGATTATGGAGCTGTAGACTTGCCATTTTCTCCATTATCTCTATTATTTACTTGCTCCAACGTATTGTAAACACTGCAATGAAATTTATATTTTACTGTGTACGGAGCAAGTTGATTCAACTTGACTGAAATGCCTAACCTTATTCCAATCAACAGGAAAAAAGTTTTTGTGTATATTATTAGTTTTTCTGCTGTATTTTATGTTCTTCGTTTTGTTCTGGAGCGTCTGAACTTTTAGAACTACGAAAATTATGAAGTAGCAACCGTTTTAGTTGGTATAAGCTGTTATAGCCTCCATGTACAAATATGACATTGTTCAGTGTGATATTCAACTTTTTTTGCAGCTAATGAGGCTCAGAGTAGTATTCAGTTTCCATTCAAAGTGCGTCGTTTAGAAGAGGAGGATGTCATCTTGACTCAAGTCTCCCCAAAAGGTATTATATATTGAATGGAGATTTCAATCCATGCCTTGGCTCTTTGTTGAAATTTTGATAGGAAATACTCGTAGATCTCAAGTATTTTCTATCAATCTTCAAAAAACAGCTAGCTTTCTCTACCAAATTCTTCACAAAACCACAAAAAACAGTAGATAATTTGTATTATTTGATAAAAGGGAAACGGAAAATAACAAGATACAATTGATCCTCTATTCGAGAGGAGGTCGATCTCTTCCAAATCTCTAGACGCCGCTAGAGCTCAAAGAAAACTTAAATCTAAGAGATCTCAAATTTGAGCCAAATTCAACATGCCATGACCCTTGGAAAACAAATTATTTAATGCATACAATTCAAAAGGAAATTCCTAAACAGTCCATACATTCAAATTTCCCTCTTAATTCCCCCAAAAAACATTCCTATTCGGCTCCTGCAAAGCTAGCGGCTCACCCGGCATCATGGGCGGATCCCCATTTAGTTGAGGGGGGGCAAATGCCCCCCCTCAAAATTTTTTTTTTTTTAAATTTTAGTGAGATATTTTGAAATATTTTGGGTATTTTGTCCCCTCTCAAAAAAAATTTTTGCCCTCATTTAATCAATCCTAAGCATTTTTGCCCATCCCCCACAAAAAAATTTTTTTTTGCCCACCCTGAAAAAAGAAGCTGGATCCGCCCCTGCCCGGCATCCACAGGAGGTGGAAGTCCTCCCTTTTGCGCGTTGGTTCGGTCCCATCGGACCAGTTGGACCGGTCTAACAAATTTCTGGTCAGTTTTACTGAGAGCTAGTGCTGCTCGGTTAAATAAAACGATGTTCATTTTAATTTGATTGATTCAACTTTATGCAAATGTTTTGGAGCATTTATGAACGGAATTGCAGATCTGGAACCTCCTATCGTGAGGCCAAAAACATCTGCGAGAACAGCCCAGAGATTGATTGCTCATGCAATGGGAATCGAGCCAAGTAGTAGTCCTGGGTCAAATGAATTCAGAAAACAGGAGGAAGCAAGAAAGAACAGAATACTTGAAAGACAGAATATGAAGAATGATGCATGGGGTTCGGACTAAAATTTAGTACTTCTTTGTCGTCTTTTTTTCTTTTATTTTAGCCGACTTGTTTTACAACTACTGCAACAGGAGATAGGGTTTAGTCATTAGTGTTATTGGGACACTTGCCAATGTGAGATCCCTCCCTTCTAGTGCTAATGTAGGAAATTCAATTTCTTTCTGAAGCATTGCAAAACGTATTGTACAGTAAATTGAAGAATGGCGTAGAATTGAATTTGTACTTCTTTTATTAAATTTTTTTAGTCCATGAATATGGTTGCTTATATGTGAACATGGAATGCATCTCAACACATAAGCGTTCGTTCATATTGATGAACTTGTTTTCGTCAAAACACGGGAAAATTACTTTAAAGGATTGTGGGCTTTTGTTGGCTTTGATCTGTAGTATCTTGCTGGTTGGAAATCTCAATGAGTTAGTTACCTCTCTGTCTGTTTGTCTGTCTGCGGGGAGAGAAATTATTCTGTGCGATCATCATACGGTTTAGAAATGAATTAGGATGCGTAATGTCACCTATTAACATAACAATCACGTCAAAAAAATGACGTGGCACATCCTGATTTATCTCTAGACGTCGTTTGGTGACCGCACAGAATAATTTCTCCTGCGGGGAAGCCTATTTTGCTCTCTCCCTCTCTATGTGAACCTTAAGGGGAAGCCTATTCCAATTCTTAAATTAACTTTACAATTTCTAGTGAATATTGAAAAATGCTCATTATAATTTGTGCCTTTCTGGAACAATAATATAAGAGCCGTTCCACTCTCTAGTAATGATCACTATATTCTCTTGTATTAAAGCAACAACTCTCTCTCTCTCTCTCTCTTATGTTTTCACAATTATTTATGTGACAATAATTGGACTAATTTTATTGAGCAGATGGGCTAACTCTGAAGGGTACTCTTATCTATATTTGAAAAATTTACACTAGTAAACTTAAAATGGGTGATACGTCACCATGTGTTGCTTAAAATATGCTTTTTATGCATGTTTTTTAAAGAGGTTTATAAAAGTCAAGACCAGCTTTTATTTTCTTTTTCTTTTTTCAACCAATTAATCATGAATTATTTTCCCATGAATAATCAGTTTCTCCTAAGCTCATCTCTCTTTCAGGTGTACAGCTTCTTGCCCTTTGTCCGTTACCACAACTTTATGAAATGTTATCTTTGTCCACATGTATATATGAGAGTAAGAGAGAGAGAGAGAAATGGCAAAGTTACATACAAAAGTCTTTTGTTGAATTGACATTAGTTCATGTTTCAACTACTTTTTTTGTCCATATTTATGCTAGTTATTTGCAATTATGTGTGATACACCATCAAAAAATTATCTTGACCGGGCACAATTTTTTTTAAAATATGCTTAAACTCTTAATACAATTTATAATCATGTTTAGTCTTAAAATTTGTCCTCAAAAAATTATCTTGACCGGGCACAAATCTCGATGCAAAATCAAGTTGAAAACTTCCAAAATTAAAATTGGGACCATCCGAACTCCGATTTCAGTTAACTTATAGTCGAACTAAACGTCTCGACAATACGAACCCAATAACACCAAATTCAACCCAATCCGAGCCCAAATGGGTCCAAATCAAGAGTTAGAAGCGCAGTTGGAAGGTTCGAAACACAATTTGGATTATCAAATTGTTTCTAAACATAACGTGCTTATAGTCGAATCGAGCGGCTCGACGAGACGAATCCAACGAGCCCAAGATCACCGAATTCTAACATCACTAAGACATTCAAATGTCCATCAAACAGACAATGATCACCGAATTCAACATCGGCCGTCCATCCAACAACTACCCATTTGCCCTTGATCAAGAAGCGCACGAAAGAGAGAAAAACGCAGGAAAGGGGAGAAAATGGGTACTTTCGCGCGGAAGAATAGAGAAAATGCCTAGTTTGATTGAAGATGAATAATTGTTTTTTTAAATTTTGCTGCATTTTGGAGTGTAAAATGAGTTTTTTGTTGGAGATGACCTAAGAAAAAAAAAAAATAGAACCAGCTCGAGTCATGACAGCGTGAGTTAACTTATCCCCCCGTAAACTTTCTGAAAAATTGAACAAGTCCTTTCAATTTCTACAGTCGTCATCAATGAAAGTGAAGCCAGAAACCTTCCTCGTCTCTTCACCAAATCTTCAATCTATTCTTAAACCATGCAGCTTTTTTAGACCTCTGCCCATTCAATTATTTCTTATAAGGAAGCTAAGAAAAGAAATATGGACAACGGTCTCCCCATTGTTCTTTATAGGATCTTAGCTAATACAGCCGACAAGTCTTATTTTCTATCGTTTATAACGGGGTTCAGTTCTTAATTAGCTACAATGGGGATGGGGGACTAGCAGCGTAGCCTAGATTTGACGAGTCAAAGTTTCATAAATGTGGATGTGCCTAGCTATTCCCGTCATCGCCGTTGGCAATCAAAGACCAAGAAATGAAAGGACCGGAGACTTTGAAGGCTGGAGAGGGAAGAATTGGATTTGAACAGCAATGAATTCGCAGGAAAAAAAGAAGGATTTTTTTATTTTGAGATTCGAATGAGATGGCACCAAATAATAGTAGAGATACTCACATGATTTCATTGACTAATGAAGGTATACTATTAAGGTTTTGTTTAGGGAGAAATTATTATGTACGGAGATCGGATGTAGAATGCCGTTCGAAGACTAATCATAATATGCCATGTGAGCACTATCGAGTCGCGGTGCCGAGCACAGGGTGACATGACATATTTTAATTGGTCTACGTACGGCGTTCAACGTCCGCACATAATACATTTTTTTTTTGTTTGGGATAGCTTTCTAACTGTTGTACTTTTCAAATCTCAATGATATCTTTTATTTGATTATTATTTTTCCATGCTCACAAAAATTTCTGAGTTAGAAAATTTCTTTTTACAAGATAATATAAAAAAGTAATTGTATCTATAACAGTTTTAGAAAGCAGTAAAAAATTGTCCCAAACAAAACTTAAACTATGGATTTCATGTACTAAAGGAAAGTTGCGTATTTCCGGTGAAAAATTATGAAGTTGCTGGCGGATTTCGAATTTTTTTGGTGGATTTCCGACGAAAACGTCTTCGACGATAAATCGAGCATCGAAAAATCTTTCCCTCGAAAAAAACATGCCGAAATGTTTTCTAGCGAAAAAAATCCGCGGGTAATTTTTTTTGGCGGAAAAGAATCGTCAGAATAAATAAAACTTTTTTTAAAAAAAATTACCGGCTCATGTGAAAAAAAATTACAATTAAAACTAACTATTTTAATTGATAATTAAAATAAGTTACTTAAGTAAAAATTAATTAAAATATATTATTAAATTAATAATTAATTAAAATAAACTATAAAATTATTAATGAATTAAATTACAAATAAATTCTATTTTAAGATATTTTTAGACTTCCTTGGAAAATCCATCGTAAACATATCCGCCTGAAAACCTGCTTGAAAATCCATCGAAAATACTTCTAAATAATCCGTCGAAAATGGGCGATTTTCCTATAGTGATGCCATTATAGTCCTTTTTTTTTATGGTGAAGTCTTCATGCCTTGATGTCATCACTATCATGACCACTAGAAGATTCATTCATGTGACAAAAGAGGGAATTCTATTCATCATTTTTTCACTACTAATAATGATGTAAACTATTATTTTCATTGAGCATATGAAAATTATCAGGGTGATATTAAGTGTGGTTTCCCACTTGGCATTACTAAGACTCATTATTGAATGTAATCGATCAATAACCCTCTTACAAACATCTATACTTACAAATTTAAAAATGAGAATTAATGAAAGTTTAATGCTTAATTTTTTGCTCCCAATATAAGCCCAACAACTAATAGATAATTGTTATGTTGAGATAGTAGTTGCCGCTCAAATTAATATGTATATCATTTGGACTTGACAACTTTACATATGATTAATTCCTAAGTCTCTCCAGGCTCAACTGCATGGCTTAACGTTTTGCTTAGACCTACCAGGATCCGCTTGGCAACTAGGGGTGTCAATTTCGGGTCACGGGTCGGGTTCGGGTTGAACCCGGAATTGATCCTGGTTCAAACAAGTCGACCCTAACCCGACCCAGGTAGGTAAACTTGTTAGAAATCCGAACCCGACCCGGCGGGTTGCCGGGTTGACTCAACCCGACACGGGAACAGACACGCTGGGCGGATTGCGGCAGTGCGGGGCGGGTGCACCGTGCGCGGACGCGAGCGAGAGGCGGACGTTGCAGCGCGGGGCGGGTAGTGGGCACTGGGCAGCAGCCAGGCAGTAATTTTAAACGGGTTTCCGGGTTGACCCGACAACCCGTCGAGTCAACCCGAACCCAACCCGTTTTTCAAACGGGTCGAATCTGCGAACCCGAACCCGACCCATTTGGAAACGGGTGAGGTATAACCCGAAAATTCCAGGTCGGGTTTTCGTGTCGTGTCAAATATTGCCACCCCTATTGGCAGCTCCACTTCTAGCGACTTATTATCACATATATGTTGGAATTCACCAATGTATTGTCTTACACATTGATGTTATAAGCCATATACTTGATAGTTTTATAGTTGATATCTACATTACTTAGGCTTCGTTTGGAACAGTTTTCTTACTACTTCATAAAGCATCTTAATTTTTGTACTAGAAATATGTAATTTTTGTACTAAAAAGAAGCTTTAAGAAGCAATAAAAAAATCGTCTCAAACGAAGCCTTAATTGGCTCTCAACAAAAATCTCAGTATTTGTAACATAATCAAACAAAGTTCTATTTATATTTGAATCATTAAAACAATAAATTTAAAATAATGATTTAATATCAACTCATGCATTTAACAAACGAATTCAGCATTAACTATTCCCAAACGATTAGTTAGTTCTTATTGAACAGCCCTAAGCAGGGATAGATTATTAGGTGCGGAGTGCGGACATACCGTTAGGTACTCAGTACTTGTACGAACGGTACGTACTCCGCACCTAATAATCCTTCCTAAGCAGGTGAGGTATGCCGACAACTACCTTTCATTTACTGGTAGGTATATCCCTAATGTTTAAAGCATGGACGAAAAAAAAAAAAAGAGCACGTGATGGTCGAACGTTGCGTCATGCTGCTATGAACCATTAGTCTACGAAGGCGTTATTGAAAGGCCTTGGCTTTGACTTCATTCACCTTATTCAACCACCGGATGTTGACAAGCTATAAACATTTCTTAGCAATCTTCCCATGCTCATTTATCCTTTAAGCGACTGTTAAAAATAACAACTTCGCATGTTTTTTTTTTAATTACTTTTATTGATTGTCATAATTATTCGTCAAATTTTATACTGACCGTCAATTATCTAACACAATCCTCTATTTTTCTCATCCAGGACTAAAATGAGAATTTGAAATGGTCTAAAAGACTTCGCTAGAAAATATTAGAAATTACCTTTTTCTTAATAAATTTAAACTAGAATTTGACTCGTCATAAGATACAACGGAGAAAAAAGGATTCATATAATAAACCCCATATAGTGAGATAAAAGTCTGATATTATTGTTGTTGTTGTTGTAATTATTATTGGTTAGAGAAGTTGCAGTTTGAATATTTTCTAAATCAAAGAAGCATCGTCTTATATTATTGAAATTACTTTGACAATTTGATGAGATCAGCTAAAAAGGAAATGGAAGGTTTTCCATACTAAATTTTGAAAATGGAAAAAAAACTACAGGGTGTGATTGGGTTAAAATTATTTTAGTTATATGAGTTATATATAACAAATAATGCAACTTCTCATAAATATATGGAGAAGGTAAAAATATAATGTAGTAGCTTTGGATTGTAGAAGATGAATTCCATGAAGGAAATATGACCCTCAAGGCATCAAAGCTGAATTCAGAAGACAATCTCAATGATCTATGCATGTATTCTTTTTATATGATATTTGATTGGCAACAATGATGGTGTGCAATAATCTTGGTAATGCAATAGGTGTCAACCTTGTTAGTTACGATTAGGGGTATCAATTTCGGGTCACGGGTCTGGTTCGGGTCGAACCCGAAACTGACCCGGGTTCAAACGGGTCAGAAATTTGAACCCGGACCCGACCCGAGTAGGTAAACGGGACGGAAATTCGAACCCGGACCCGACCCGACCCGCCAGACAGCGAGTGCGGCACGACACGAGACGCGAGTGTGGCACGGCGGCAGCGTGAGTTCGGCAGCGAGGGACGGCGCGGGCGCGGCAACGGGCGCGCGGGTGTTGGTGATAATGAGAGTTGGATTTGGTGGCACTGACGGGTGTCAACTTAGTTGCAACAATGGCATCAAATGTGATTGCAAATAGGTGTTGCGTAGTGGTAGGTAGAGCTCTTGATTTTCTCCAATGGAATCCTTATTGGGTTATCATTAAGCCTCTCTTAATGTCTAAAAATTATTATATTTATTAATTTTAAAGGGGCATTTTAGTCTTGTTGACAAAAAATGAGAGATTATATAAGATGATACATGTTGATATCCTTAATTACATAATATTTTTTTATATATATTAATGCTTGAATGATATAAAAAGTAAACTCATTTCAACTATAATCATATAAGATCCAGAGGGTGCTTGGTCCCTCTAATTGTATCTTGAAGCTTTTAACTACATTTTCAAGTACTCCATTTAGGTCTAGTGTTCTTGATATCATTGGGTTAGCCTCTTTGAGATGTTCAGTTTCATTAAAAATAGAGTTCATATGATCAAAAATTTGTTTTTGAAAGTTTTTTTATTTAAAAATTTAAGCATCTTGATATCTAAAATTGAGCCAAGTAACAAGCTCCATCAGATGAATTTTCTATGTTTTAACTATTTAAGCATTTTTGTAGACTTAATACTCTCTCTAAAATGATTTTTTTACTTTATGTATCACATTTAAAAACATTTATGAAAATAAGAATGTTTATTGTTTTAGCATTACACGAAGATCTCACATGCAAATAAATACGTAGTTTACAACATAAAAGAAGCACACAATTTTTAATATGCAAAACCTAAAAAAGAATAATTACATGAGGCCTAGCCCATTTAAAGTGGTTTCATTATATTAGTAGATGGAGGATTGTATTCACCCTTCTTTTCGATTGGAGGAAATAGGATTATAAGGTCAAAATCATAAATATTGTCTCTTACAGTGGTAATATCATTACATCAAGTGTATTATTACAAGATCCTCGACTCATATTCTCGAAAAAAAGCATTCAAACACTTCAACTCATTCACTCAATGATTCATGTAATATACTATATATTGATGTTTATCTTGAATCTAGAACAACAATCCTAATGTCACTATTCAAGGCATCCTTACATCACTATTAGCATATTATTTTTACTTTTCCCGGTGGGAACCCCTCTTGGCTTTTGTTTACTCGATATCTCTAGTTCATTAAATCCCATATCATCCCACAATAAGTATCCTTCATGCCTTTTAGGGAATGTTTTTAACATAGCATGAAAACTTATAATTACTTTCCTTGTTAGCACATCATTAACACCCTCCACTATTACGATAAGCTCTTTTTAAGCACTTGGGGAGTTTTAGTGGAGGGAATAAAAAGGCTAGATCATAAGAAAATGCTCAATCAGTCTCTTCTTTGATCTCTCGTTTGTCGCCCATCAGTTCAAAATTTGTTGTAATTAGCTAGTCTTCATTTATGTTAATTATATATCTTTTGTAGCAAAACTTCCCCGTCTTTGTCCTATGGATGTAGTCTGCAGAGTCAAACAACATTAACCCCTAACATATTCTTCTCCGTCACTCCTTTCATGAAAACTTGTTCTCTTTGATTCCCTTCTAGCATACTCCTATATCACCCATACCAACTCCTCTCAAAACACACATGGCACAATCTCGACCAACTTCCATTTTATGGTGTTGATAGGTGTGGTGTAGCTCTCCTCTTAGTTGGAGAGAAGACTAGACGAGTATAATATTCACGATACTTTTTAGGCTACTACAATGACACACTTTTAGAACATAAATATTTTGTTGTTTGAATATGGATTAACAACTTTAGTCATACTCAATGTTCATATATAAATTGTAATTAATGCATACTCTAGAAGGAAAAAAAAAGAAGATATCTTGGGTTAGGCCATGTGAGAATTTAAGTTTTTCCATATATTAAACGGTTAAAATATGTATTGATATAATAATAAAAAAGTAAGTGGGTCTCACCCATAAACTTATGATTTTGAGTTAAATATACATGATCTTAACCACTAATGTATTAGACCTAACATTGTGTCCATCCACTCTAATAGGTGGTACAAGAATCAAATGTTTATATAAGATTATGGTTTTGTTTGGGACGACTTTCTTACTGTTTCTTAAAACAGCTTTATAGTTTTAAAATTTTAATTTTTGTACTAGAAAGATGCTTTAAAAAGCAGTAAGAAAGCTGTCCCAAACTATGCTTAAGTCGTTCATATAGCTTGTGGCTTTTATAGTCTTTGGTGTCAAAAATCATGATTTGGGCAACGTTAAAGAATGGCCGACTCCCACAATGTCTCCATGAGGTTCACTAGCTGGACTTTTTATGCATGTATTTGATGATAATGAAAAGTTTCCATTTGTGGATGGGTGATATTGTGATAACTAATGATGTAAATAGTATTTATTTTTAATTAATAATGTTAAATACATTATATACTTTATTTATCATTTATGTACTATAAAAATTAATTAATTAATTAGTTAATTATAAATAAAAAATTATAAAACTTTAATAATTTATAAATATAAATTTATAATATGACTTTACATATAATTTATAGGTGTAAATTATATCTAAACATACATCAATTAATAAAAATTTATATTAAATATATAAATTTATATGTAAGAGAAATTTGAATTAAATTGAATTAAATTTAAAGTTTGATATGTTTAAAATTTAAAATTACATAAAATATTATTAATGTATGAATTCAATTTATTTTTTAATAAAAATTTTATATTATTGCATGATTATTCTGTCTTTTAAATTTTATTTAAATTATTTTCATATTTATTAAGTTATCAGTTTAAACCCCGATCCGACTCTGGTCAAACCATTAAACCCTAAATATCTCCTTCCGGTTATATGTTTGATCTGATTTTTACATATTAACATCAACAATAATAACATATCGTAAACTAAATATTATTACTTTTTATAATTTTTACCATTTAAAGCATTAATAAAAAAAAGGAAAATCTCACCATTATAAATAAATTTTAAAACATTCATTCTTTTAATAATCATCATCATTTTCAAAAGATTAAAATTTGCCCAAAGTCTCTCAAATCCAATGCCCATTTTTGCAAAAATATAAAGCTCATGTTTAGAACTATCAATTTGTGCATGTCATGGAAGGCCTCATTTTTCGAGTTGAATTAATATGAGTTTAATCACTTATGTATATGCTCTACTTTGATCCCGTTTTGATTCGAACTTCGTTTGGGATAGCTTTAAGTCGCTTTTTTTATCTTTCAAGAGATTTTGGTATTAAAAAATAACTTTATAAAACGACAAAAAAGTCATCCTAAACTAAATCATAGTCCTTTTAAAATTGTAAGATGGTAGGCATGAATAATATTAAGGAGAATACTTAACTTCTATACAAAAAAATACATTTAAGATCATAAGCTGCTAAATTTATTAAATTATAATTATGAAATTAGTTTTGTCCCATCGATTTCCGTTGAACCGCTCATCCATATCAAGAACTTTGATTCTATGTAAGATACTCGCGATAAGGTCAAAAATTTCTGCTTTCAATCATTTTTAGACTCCGAATATTAGCAGCGATTTTATCTTATCCAAATCAAACATTGAAAAAAAAAAGTCAATAGTAATTGCATCATTGCGTAATTAATCACATTTTTTTCCTTTGTTTTTTTTTTTCCTTAGCTCCATCAACGAATTTCCGATTTCGCTGAGTAACAGTAAATCGGACCGTTGAATTCTCATCAGTCAAAACACCTAATTAACGGTGGCATCCAAAGTCTTAGGAGATGATCTCAATTAGATATGAATTAAAAAATTATTTATTTATAATTTAAACGTGTTCCCCCTTGAAAATTTCGCCTAAGATGGATGATCATAAATCCATTAAAAAATATTAGCTCAAATGACTAAGAAAGAATTAACCAACAACAACCAAATTCATTAATTAACTCCGCGATTGTCCGCACAGAATATTTTTTCGTGTTCTTGACCAACCTCTTCACCTCCTCATTCATTTAAATCCAAATCCCATCTACCATGACTCCATCGCCATGGACAACGATGCAGAAGAAGTCCCGCGTTACTTCACCTGTCCCATATCTCTCGAAATCATGAAAGATCCCGTCACCACCCCAACCGGAATCACCTACGATCGTGAAAGCATCGAGCGGTGGCTCTTCATCGACCGCCGTCTAACGTGCCCGGTCACCAACGAGCCCCTCCCGTCGGACGCCGAGCTCACCCCGAACCACACCCTCCGCCGCCTCATTCAATCATGGTCAACGCTCCACGCCACTAACCGCATCCCCACGCCACGCCCACCTGCAGACTACGCAACCGTCCAAAATCTCCTTCGCAATATCTCCCGGCCATCCTCCCTCTCCCTTCTCTCCTCCCTCGCCGCCGAATCCGAATCCAACCGCCGACTCATCCTTCGCGCCGATGGCCCCCGCCGTCTTCTCTCCTTCCTCCCCTCCGCCTCCACTTCCTCCGCCGACGCCGCTCTCTCCCTCCTCCTCGCCCTTCGCGTCCCCGTCGACGACCTCAGACCATTCATATCCGACAATCACGAACTCATCCACTACCTCACCACCCTCATCTCGCAATCCTTTTCCGCCATCCTATTCCTAAAAACCGCCTTCGAACTCGCTAGCCCGAAGCTGCTGGAACGGCTAAAGGTCGAAGCTTTTCAAGCCGTCGTGGGGATAATTCGCGACGGGATATCGAAACAGGGGACTAAAGCTGCCCTGCAGATGCTGCTGCTATCGTGCCCGTGGGGGACGAGCAGGGCGAAGATCGTGGAGGCGGGAGCTGTGGCGGAGATTATTGAGATGGAGCTGAGGGGAAACGCGGAGAAGAGGATGACGGAGTTGGGGCTCGGCGTGCTGGAGCAGTTGTGTATGTGTGCGGATGGTAGAGCGGCGTTGGTGGGGCACGCGGCGGGGATAGCGCTAGTGGCACAAAGGATGATAAAGGTGTCGCCGGCGGCGGATGAGAAGGCGGTGGGAATATTGACGGCGGTGGCAAAGTACTCGGCCACGTCGGGGGAGATTGTGAAGGAGATGATGATGGTGGGTGCGGTGTCGAAGCTTTGTTTGGTTATGCAGGCGGAGTGTTTGAGTGGGGTGAAGGAGAAGGCAAGCTGGGTGCTGAGGTTACATTCCAGAGCTTGGAAGAACTCGCATTGTTTTAATTCTGATTTATTGTCTAGGTAAAACTTGGATCGATCATCTGTAACTAGTTCTCTAATTTGATTTTTTTTTTTTTTTTTGAGAAAATTTTAGGGGAAATAGTTCAAATGACCGTTGTTGAATTGATTTATTAACTGTATATTTTCCATATTATCGTGATCCATGTTTGTTGATTTGCTCTGCTGGGTTGAGAAGGGTGATCACGCAGCTTACTTATCTTGGTCGAGAGCTTTTGCCTATCAACTTAAAAGTTATATTCGAAGTTTAGGTATATGATATGTGTGAGAATTTATCTTAATTAGACTAAATAAAAGATGATCATGATGAGACAAAAACAATAAAATTAAATTATAAGAGAATAATCCACCTTTTGCTTAGCTTAGTTGGTGGTCGAGTACGGTTGGAAATCATCCAACCCGTGCTCGATTCCCCTTGAGTGGCATCGCCTCCTAAGTGGAGTCCAATCAAATGCGGGCCAGAAGGTTTCTGGGTTGGCTGCCTCTTCTAGGTTAGCCAAAAATTAGTCACGCCACCAACCGCCTTTTCGAGGGTTACAACGGGTAGATATATACCCGTTCCGAAAAAAAAATTATAAGAGAATATTATGGAGTAATTTTATGTTTTAAGCATAGGTGTAAGAAAGTGTAGTCGAGCTCAAGTCATATCTAATTCAAATATGAGATTTTAATTAATTTAGTTCAAATTTGTTCTTACAAGTTTGATTAGGCTTACACCTCAGTTTATTTATAATGAGAGAGAAAAATGATTATGATTAAATCATTATTATAATAAAATTATAAAAATAATGAAATTGTAATATAAATAAAAAAAAGTAATTTGATATAAGAAAGTGATATATAATTTTAAAATATTTTTAATAGCTTTGTACTTTTAACTTTTAATTTAAATATATTTTAAGTATATTTTATATTAATATTTTTTAATGAATTAAGTTGCGAGCTAATGAGTTGGGTTAAGATTGGCTCAAATTTGACTTACTAACTCATCAAATCCAATTGACAAGCCATTCATCTAGCTAAACTTGAATGGGCACAAGAGTCAATTTGACTTGCTTGCACCCCTATTTTTTAGGGATATATTGATATATGTGGTTTGTTAAGTGAATGGCTAATTTCCTCTTTGGAGAAGAAAATCTTTCCAACACGCATCGTCTTCTGATTCTAGATGTTCAGCCTGTAACACGTTTGGAAGACAATAACTGTTCAAAGAGAATGGCCTCATTGAATAACTATTTAATTTTGAAAAAAAAAAAATTATGTCAGAATATATCATGATGAAATTTTAACTATGCTAATTTTTAAATTTTTTAAATGAAAAATGCATGAGCAATTAATTAAAATTTATATTATATTGATTTTAAAATAAATTTAATAATTTTAAGATCTTCCATTTTTTTAGTCAAAATAACTTAACCATCTTTTCCGGCGAAAATTTTAATGAAAATTTGTTGGCATTAAGACAGAATTCATCATTCAAAAAATTAATTAAAGATTTTCCAAAGCAGAACGCTACTCTATCATCATTTGTCATCATATGCTCTCCCAAAGCAGAAGGCACGTAACTTAAACTATTTGAGGATAGCAATGGCAATAGTGCAATACGTTGCCCCAAAGAGCTTAGGCCATAAATTGGCCAACACTTCTTCCCCTCTTCTGATGCAAACAAAAAAATTATTTTATGCAGATGCCGAACACGGTTCAAAAAACAACCAGAATACGTCAAGTCACTCCACTGACGCAGGGGCATAACTCCCTTAAGGTGCCCCTCTAATATATATATATATATACAAATTCCTTCGGTAATTTATCTCCATCCGTCTATTTTTTAGTCTTTATTTAAAGAACTTTTAGAGAATTGTCCCTTGACCCTACAACCTGACCGGTCAGGTCGAACCCTTCCAAGGGGTGCTACCTCCTTGGACCCCTGACATCCCCCCCTAAAATTTAAGTCTAGTTCTGTCCTGCGCTGACATGGTTGCACCTAATTCATCTGCGGACATAGAGCCGCATCTGACGTCCGCACAAGATAATCTCTCGATGCAGACATCAAGACAAAGACAAAGAAAACTTGTTCTTTAATAGCTTAAAATTTTCAACAATGAATCTATCCATATATGTTTTACAACCACCCAAAACACCTTCCCACAACACTCTAAGGCTTCGTTTGGGACTGCTTTTTGAAACGACTTTTTAGTACAAAATTTTCAAATTCAAGAAATTTTTGTACTAAAAAATTGTTTTAAAAAACAATAAAAAAGTCATCCCGAACAAATCGTAAGAGTGTATACCAATTAAGTCGATGCCTTTATCATAAAGATCCTATAAACCCTACAACCACTTCCAATGCCCACATTTGCATGCTAAAACTATCTTTAGCTTATTTATCCCAAACTCAATTGTATTTTCTTCAACCTCTCATAAATTCTCCTTGCAGAATGAATGATACTAACTTCCACAAAAGCAAAATAAGAATTAATTGTTAAGTAATGATCAATGTTCAATGGGGAAAAATGCCTTTTCCAACACAAACTAGAAGTATCATTAACTTCGACAAAATTTCTAACAAAATTACCGTCATTTTTAAAAAGGGCATAACCAGCCTAATTCCCTAAGGAATTCCCACTTATTTCCGGGTGCAAATTTGCCAAAAATTCCAATATATTTAAAATATCACACCAACTCTTTCTTAGAACCAGCAGAAAAATTCTAATGGGAAAAAAAAAAGAATGCAAGAGAGCAAAATGTGCTGAAATTTAACTAAAATAGTACTCAAAGCTTTCAATGATATAGACAGACTTCTCTCTTGCATGAAGCAGAACTAAAAATCTATAAGAAATTTCTTATAAGAATTGCAAGAGAAAATTATAAAAATTCTTTATCATGCACTAAAAAGAAAATTTTATAAGATACTTCATATAAGACATTTGCCAATGAAGCTGAATTACTGAAGGTTGCTTTACAAATATGATCGATGAAAAATAAATAAAAACTATTAGGGGCTGAATTGGAGGACTAGATGAAAAGGAGCAAAGAGTACCTTTTGCCCATAAAAACAGTCTCTCTGATCCAGATTTGCCCTTCAAAATGAAAGGTTAGGTGATTGGTTAACTGAAGAGTTAGAGAATATCAGAAAAAGTGTTCAGTTGGGTACTCCTGCTCATAACCATTGTAATCATAATATAGCCTTTCACCTCGAGTAATATCTCGACAAGCAACTAATAAGACCCGACACTCGCCGTCGACATTATACCTTACACATTTAAGGTTCTGCTTCTTCCTACCTTCCCTGCAAACAAAATGGTAGATATGATCATAACAATTTCTGATATTCTAACTTCATATCAGAATTAGGCTTAAGTTTGGGACGGCTTTCTTTATGCTTCTTACAACAACTTTTTTAATACAAAAATTAAAATTTTTTACTCGAAAGTTGATTTAAGAAGCAGTAAAAAAGCCGTCCCAAACAAAGCCTTAGCTTCGAATAAAAACTGCTGAAGACTGTGGATATCAGTAGTAAGGGTATAAATTAATTGAGACAAGCTAGAATCAAACCGACTTGAGCTTGATCTTAACTCACTTAATTGAGCTCTAAGTTCCACTTTGATTCGTCCCATGAGTGGGCTCATCTATTGGCTCGACTTCTCATGAAAGAGATAAGATTAGGGTAAATCTAAGTGAGGCGATGGAATCATAAGAAATGTAAACTTAGTAGAGAGAAAGGAAGAAACTAGAATTCATACATTATTTGTCATTTGAACCTCCTGTTTTTCTTATTTATTTAAAAAAAAAAACACTAAATTATTTTTTTTATCTCTTATTTTAATGAACTGTCTCACTATCCAATGAGCCAAGTGTAGATTGGACATATATGTTCACCAAGAATCAATTATTTAGCCAAGTTCAACCAAGCTTGGCTCAATGACACCCTATGTCCTACATGTGAGTTCAGTAAATCGGCCCTATAAGAATACAGAACATGAATACAACAACAACAACAACAACAAGCCTTTGTCCCACTACGTGGGGTCGGCTACATGAATCCTTTTTTGTCATAGTGTTCTGTTAAAAGTCAAATTCTCATTTAAATCTAATAAAGAAAGATCATTTCTAATATTTTCTAACCAAGTCTTTTTAGGTCTACGTCTATGTTTCTTAACATAAGATAAATCTAAAACCTCAACTTTTCTAACCGGGTCATCGGAAACATGAATGACAAACAAAATTCTGAATAATACTTACAGAGTGTAGTTGTTAATTCCACTGATGAAGCAAGCAATATTTCCCCGTTTATCAGGACAAACAACTAAGCTTTGAGAGGTTTTGGTTGCAAGAAGGAGGGTCATCATGCTATCACAATCATCATCTTCTCGTTTTTCCAGATAATCCACATCTCCAGTGTACTCAGTGATAAAAGTCATGTCCTTTATGTCTTTATCTGCCTGAACTGTAAAGCTGCACTGACCAGACTATTACATTTCTAATATAAGAGTCATTGCATAATATAATGCTGGAGTTATGTACAGGTTAATACCCTTCACATGCATCAAAGACTACGACCAGAGGAGGGCATTCCCCTCTCCTGTACATGGTTCTACAGATCTCCAGTGTTTCTTTGTCTTTCTTAGCGAGGAGCTGAAAGGAACTAGCGCATCAGAAGTAAGTAGCTGACGTATAAAGAAGGAAGTTCTTCAAATTTAGATAAACTATAAACCTGCATTCCACCCTTCTCATAAATAGCCTTATTGGCAGACCTTGGTGCCATTCCAGGCATGTAAGTTAGATCATTACAAAACTCCATCTGCAATGCTGTTAATGCAGTCGCAAGGGAACACATCTGCTCAAGTCTTTGTTTTGGATCTTTGCTTGGAGTGAATGGCAATATTCTCCTCATTTTCTTATGTCTGACTAAGGGCATGGAACGCCTTCTTCTTTTCCTGACTTCTGAAACCGAAAAAAAATAAATAGGGAGGATTATTCTCTCAACCAGACAGTTAAAAGAGAATAATCCTCTCTAAGTCTAGATTAAAAAGGATTTATGGTTGACTGAAAAACCTATCGTCTTGCAGTAGAAATAAAATTAGACAACATGAGCTTGGGCAACCCAAGGAACGAAGTACAGAATTGTAATAAAGGGAATGTAAGTAATCCAGAAAATAAAGGGAATAGAATGAACCCAAAGAGAGTGAATTTTCAGAGATTAATTAAAATAATTGTTCCACATGTATGTCCAAATATCTAAGCCCAATGCTGCTACTATATGCCAGATACATGTATCTCTATGTATCTGATTGACGACTAGCCTTAATCGAAAGTTCTCTCTCATTATCGAGAGGGGTAATTAATTATAGGGGCTTGCGCCTATAGGAAACCAGAACTCAGATCTAAAGTCCTCGCAAAATTAGGGCAAAATCTCTGGATAGTATCTTATATACAAACTCATCTGCCATCCAAAATTTACCCTGGAACTTAAATTCGTTAAAACTCCCCCATAATGAAAAAGCAAAGCGGGCGGAGGCCGGAGCCGAATTTTCGTAGCTCACAGATTTCTGGCGACTCCACTGTGTCAATTAGCATGCAGCAAACGTGATTTGCTCTAGGCACATACCACATTTGTTGGGGGGCATTTGTTGACCTCTGAAGCATAAAATAATAATAATAATAAAGAAATGCACAAATCATTACCTCTGCCACAAAATTCTGCACGAATCCTGCTCTGCCATTAGTCCATCTCCTGCATTCGGCATCGTTTTGGGTTCCTAGTATCTGCTGAGAATTGTGGGAGAGACGATTCACCTCCCAAACAGTGAATCAACTTATATCTTGTCTTGCTTTGCTTGGAAATTAGTAAAAACAGCTCTCTTTGTGTTATTTCTGGATCTATTTTTGGAGTAAGTTGTTGTTTTTTATATTGTTTTGTACTGTTTTGATCATCAAGTCCTATCAAGAAACCAATCATGTTTATTGGTTAATTTTCCTAAAGAACCTCCAGGAATATAAATTCCCTCTTCAAGCTATATGCTCCTACAAATAGAGGTTAGTGAAAATGCGTGATGCGTAGTCCACCAAGATGAGGCAATGACTGACAATGCTGATTATGTGAGCGACCCAAGTAATGTAGATGGTCCATGTAAATTGCCAAAATTAAGTTAATATACTATATGTGAGCATTCTCCACAAGTGGCTCTCAATATATCAACACGTTCTTGCAGTTCTTTTGAAAGCCAAAATCTCCAGTGGCGAAATTCAAATTTAATGGTGAATACGGAAAAACAAGCGTAGGGTTTATATTTAGAATTATGGCAAACCTGTAAGGGAATTGAATGAATCAAGGGAGAGATTTGTGAGATTAATTATTATAAGAACTTCAGATTCAATAGAATAAAAGGCCTTGGTTGTAGTTTGGTGTTTCTTCCTACTTGTTTGAGATACTAGTAGCTTCTTGCCAATTTCGCAAGAAGGCAGTCCAGGTGGTAAATCAATGCGAAAAATAAGGATAGTAGAAAGAAAATGAGAAAAAACTAGTATTCTAGAAGTTTAAGTTGAAGGATCCTTTTGATGAATGTCTTCAGGCGTACAATGCTCCCTTATTTATAAACCATTTACAAACTCTTACCCCTTCTTAAAGACAACGTAAAAATTTGGTTAATATAAAAAATTAACTTGATTGCAAAATAAAGAGAAATGGTATTAATACACCACTGAAAAATTCACCTACTCACGATTTTTTATGCAAATTTCAAATATGAAAGCACCAATGTTTTTGGATCAGAAGCTTTAAAAATTTACTTTGAGATCATCTGAACTATTTTTTCAATAAATTTATGACCAATACATTAAGGTTCGATGAGAAGAAAATAACATTACTTAGAACATATAGATTGGATTCCAAATAAGTTTAAATAAAGCACTCAAGAACATAATTGTGAACTTCTCGAGGCTATTTGAACTTTGAAGTCTATAGGGACTTCATATGTAAGAATCACACAATCCCTCAATGTGAATCCTATATTCAAGCTGTCATTCAAAGTATAATTTATCCTCAAATTGCTTATAAGTAATACAAAAAGAGGAGGATGAAACTTTTGGAGGCCACATTCATCTGTGAAGTACATTACTCGCGTTGTTGGTGAACATTGACTTGGTCAAGATGAACGTTGGGATTTGCCGAATGTCCATTGATTACATATGTCTTGATTGGGCTTGTCCAAAGGATAGTTTTCCGACCAACTGATTAATGCCACTTTCGAGCATCAAATGGTTAGCATCATTGATGCTTACTCATGCTACAGCCAGATCAAGATTAACCTTGAGATGAAGAAGCCACCTTCAAACTAATAAAATACAATTATTATCGGATAATACTGTTTGGATTAAAGAATATTATCTCCACATATTAATGTTGTATGAATAAAGTCTTCAAAGAACTACAGGGTGCACCATGGAGATCTATATCGATGATATGCAAGGTGAAAGCTTCAAAAGATAACAACATATCTTTGACCATAAATAGGACTTTTGCCTCATTTGATATTATAAGGTCTAAGTCAATCCAACCAAACACACCTTTAGGTCAATTCGGGCAGTTCTTAGGATAAATTGAGGGAATAAAGGCAACCTACAAAAGAAAGGCACTTTGAGATATGATGCCCTGAGGAATATTACGGAGGTGCAATGCTTAACAGGTGAAAAATAACCTTCACTTACTTTCTAGCCCGTTTAGGAAATAAGTACATGCCATCTCTTAAGTACCAAGGCATCTTCAGAATATTATATTTTAGTGGATGGGGATGAAGGACAGTATGTCTTCAAATAGCTCAAGATCTACATGGCCACACCACATTTATTATCAAAATCAGTCCTAGGAGAAGTCATTTAGTTATATCTCATTGTCTCTCCCCAGACAATAAGCTTAATTCTTGTCATGAAAGGAGAATGTCTCACAACAAATGTTTTACCACATTAGCAAGGTCCTTCTGAATACAGATATGTATCCGCCAGCATAAAAGGCTAACTTGGCCTTGGTCTTTTTAGCAGGGAAGTTGTGCTCATACTTTCAAGCTCAAACAATTAGTGCACAACTAACTTCCATCAAAGGCCATATTTCATAAATCAAAATCCTTTGGAGAACTAACTAAATGATCAGTGAAACTAGAGGAGTTCATCAAATTTGTTAGCTAATTGCCAATATTGACTTGTACACTTTGCTTAATTAACAAATACTCAAAATTGTTCAAATGATCAGTGATTTTCATGTGCCTTCTCTAATCGTGAGAAGTTGGTCATGGAGTTTCATGATGCTTAGGCAATATTTAGATCTTAACACTTCTTTCATTGCTACCCAGACTAATTTAGTTCTATCATCTTTTTTGTTCTTTGACCATTAAATTACACCAATATGTTTATACAAGCCCAATCAATTTCAATATTACAAAGTAGTTCTTTCATAATCATGTATGTTATACCAATCAAAGAAATCAACCATCCGAGCAAGTCAATCTAAGAGCTTATTGAGATCATAAACACCATCAAATGTTGGAGCTTCAATTTTAACTTCACAAATGGATCATCAAAGGCCATAATGTCATATCTAGGCTAGTTTCTTTCAACAAGCAATTTGTTATGAAATGTTTTTCACCAGGGAAACCAAGCAAATCAGAGAAAATGGGTGCAACATGTGCGATTTGCATCCTAGGAAAAAAAATCTTCCAAATTAATGTTCATTGTTTGTAAGTTCACAAGAGTGTTTTGCAATTTGTCAAATGTATCTTCATTGTTTGTTTTATAATCCTCCATTTAAGAGAAATTGATTTGGGGCATAATGTAAAACACAAAATAATGTAATGACATAAGTTTAATGTTTTTAAAATAAATATGATGCTTATCCAATAAATAATTGTGTTTTGAAAAAAAAAAAAATCTAATGCAAGTGTATAAAAAAATTTGGGCTCTTCATGCACTTGAAGAGCAATTAATTTTCATAAGAATAAACAAATAAGCATTTCCCACAAAATCAAAAACAAACAACAAGAAACAAATAAACATCTTCGTGTTGACAAAGGAAAATATTTTGTGGATCACATCTTCAAAACATCAGACTCTCAACTGTCATATATTAATGGGTGGGAGTAGGTTTTATGCTATAATTGACTTTGGCTTTATGCAGTGCTCACTACTTAGAGATTATGGAAATTATTCAGAGTTTCCGACTAACACGTTAATTTCCTAGATTTTATGTAAAAAAATTTCTACCAAAATAAAGGAATTTAAAAGGAAGAAAAAGCAAATGTTACCCACTCACCACTTATTTGAAGCTAGCTGTTCAATCCTTGGAATTGTGGTTGCTCCTATTAGTGCGTTTGGAACTCCTTTGATCTATTACCAATCAACATCCTTGGCATTTTATCTCTGATGGCAAATTTAATAAGTTCGTAATGAGAGATCAATCGAATAAGACACACGGAATGCTTGGTGGTGATTAATGGTGTTATAGGGTTGCATTGGAGTAGTGGAATGGTAATTAGGGTTGGATTATAAATAGTTATTAATGGAGGCCAAGAGGAGTAGGACTTGTCTATTTTGTGGAGCTTATAGATTGATTCAGGCTCAAGTATAGCTTATGACAAGTGAGATTGAGTGTGGAGAGGGAGGAATTAGAGTCAGGGTTTGTGGGTGAGGTGTGAGGAGGTTTGGGGATGTGTTGAAATCGACTCGAGGGTTGCTTGGAGAGCTTAAACTTGAGAGGGTTTATTTTACAATTTCATTTTCGAAGATCGGGAAGGATAATGGTGGATGATCATGAGGGTTATGAAATAATTTTTTTAGGATTGTTGTAGAGGTGAGGATGGCAGCTAGGGTTGAACAAAGGTGCTTAAACTACGAGATGAGAAGATAAACTAAAACACAAATAAATGAAAACATGAGACTCACTAAAGACTCCT